TTTTTTATATGAAAGCCCTTAAGTTTATTTGCCTGAGGTTGTTCACTTGCAACCTAGTTTCCATGACTCCAGTTTTGTTATTTATTTGTTCTTCAAGTGTAGAAAATGGGTTGAAGCTCTATTTTTTTAAGCCAGTTTGGAGCGGACTCTTATTTACTTCCTAATGTGTGCTATGGCTTTTGTAATTTGATCTTGTTTAGAGAAAAATTCTTCATGATATTAATTGCCGACAGTATGGTGCCACCTTCTTCTAAACTGCACTCACTTTACTTCTTCCATGTTAACTTTTGGTTTATTTTTATTTTTTTCATGAAGCTCATCAGCCAAAAAAATTAAAACCCATCATGCATTGAGACAGAGTAAACAATATTAAAACACACACACACACACACACACACACACACACACACACACACACACACACACACACACACATATGGCATTGCTCATGTTGAGTTGCTGGTAGACGTTTTTCAGCCTTTGGACTTTAATAGAAACATTACACTCTTTATTGTTAATAAATAACTGTGTTCTCTGCTCACAAAGCATGTATAGAAAAAAGATCTTGTGTAAATGTTCAAATGAAGTATGTCATGCAAATGGTAAATGGACTGATTCATATATAGCGCTTTTCTACTCTCCCAGAGTACTCAAAGCGCTATATACAACACGCCACATTCACCCAGTCACACCCATTCTCACAAGCACTACCTCTATACTGAGTGCTTTCTAACTACACTCACACACATTCATACTCCGATGGATGCATCGGAGAGCAACTTGGGGTTAGTATCTTTCCCAAGGATACTTGGCATGCAGACTGGAGGAGCCTGGGATCGAACCTCCAACCTTCCGATCAGTAGGTGACCTGCTCTACCTCCTGAGCTACAGCCACTGCAAATGCTCCAGTAGTGTAGAAAAGCACCATATAAGAACTATTATATTTACCATGCAGAACATTTGCTGCCTAGCTCTCACTTTAATATTGTTTAATTTTCACCCATAGCTTCTACCTTATTGATGATGAGACAACTAATGTACATGCTAAATGTTAAGCATGTGCGTCAGCCAAGATAACATTTATGATAGTGATATATTAAATACGTACTGTTGCAGTAGGAGTCTTAGTAACAAAAATTATGAAACAGGTATTATTGTTAACTTTCATATGGCTCAAGAAAATATGACAAGTTGCACCATGTGGCGGGGCGTGGCCTGCGGTGCCGTGCAGAGGAGGCGGGCACACCTGCACAGCATCCGCAATCACGCCCCGCCAAATTAAATATTGTACTGGGTCCGGTGGTTGGCGTTGTTGTTGTGATAATGTTGAGTGGGCAGCGGGAGAGCTGCCGCTCTGTGAGTATTGTCGACAGCAACCATCAAAGCATTAATAAAAAGTATCAAAATGCCACTGGGTCTGCCGTGTATGTTTACACACCACAAAAACAAAACATTAATATCAGAGTCAGATTCTAATCCATATCCAAATTTCTGGAGTTGCCAAATAATACTCAGAAAATGAATATTTAAAAAAAGAGGAGAAACTGTTCTTAAAATTGTAAGATTTGAGATGCAATGCCCCATGGAGATCAGCTCACCTTAAGTTTCATTTTGTCGAGATTGAAAGTCCATCATTTGTTTTTGTTTTTTTCAAGCAGACTTAGGTTTTGTGGTTTTTTGTATTTTGTGCTATTTTGGGTTGCTAGTTCTGAAAATGTACCCAATAAAATATGTTTATTGTGGCCTAACCTTGTCCATGTTACAAATGTAATGTTACAAATCAGAAAACTGATTTGTAACATTAATATAATAATAATGTATTTCATCACTGTGTATAACTTTACATTTAGAGTACTTTTCAACATTACTAACTTGTTTCTTCTCCATCAGATTCAGAGAAGGAACATGTACAAGAAAAAGATCTCAGGATTGTTCTTGTTGGGATAACTGGAGCTGGAAAGAGTGCAGCAGGAAACACCATCTTAGGACAGAGGATTTTTTATTCTAATCCATCTGCATTCTCAGAATGTCAGAAGAAAGCAACTCAGGTAGATGGTCAAAGAGTGGTTGTGGTTGATACACCAGGTCTTTTTAATATCTTTAAAACTGAAGAAGAGGTGAAGACAGAGATAGAAAAGTGCTGGTCATTAGTTGATCCTGGTCCTCATGTGTTCCTGATTGTGATCCAGGCCGGCAGATTCACAGAAGAAGAACAACAAACAGTGAGAATCATTCAGAAGATGTTTGGAAAAAAATCAGCAGGTTACTCTATGGCCTTGTTCACTCATGGAGACAATCTGGAAGCTGATGGAGACTCTATAGATAAAATAATTAGTGATAATTCAGCTCTTCAATACTTCATCAGTCAGTGTGGTGGAGGATATCATCTTTTGAACAACAGAAAGGAGGATCGCTCTCAGGTCACAGAGCTGCTGATGAAGATCAACACGATGGTTCAGAAAAATCGAGAAAGCTGCTATACAAGAGACATGAGAGACAGCTGGTCTTTTGAGGACATAGTAGCTCCTGGTGTTGGTGCTGTTGCTGGAGCTGTTGCTGGGCTTGGTATTGGAGCAGTTGTTGGTGTTGGAGCCTTTGCTTTAGGAGCTGCTGGAGCTGTAACTGGCGCTCTAGTGGGCAAATGGAGGGCAAATAACTCATAGTAAAAACTTAGCAATGATTTTTATGTAATGACCAGCCTCTCATTATTTAGCTGCTGTGGAATCAGTTATTATTTGATCAAATTCAGATATATTGCTCTGTCTGTATCCCTTTTTTAACCTCTGTTTAATTTACAAATTAAAGGGCATTATAATAAGCCATCGTTTATTAGTGACAATGTAATTATTGGGACACTGACCATCAACAAAACATCACTGAGATGTTTTTGTTGATCATAATGTAACATTAAAGAAAATAAGATATTTGGTTAATGTTTACTCTGGATTGTAAATTGGTCATGTCTGTTTTTAATGTTACTAATAAACTAAGTGTGTCTGTTTGTCATTACATTTTGTAGATATCTACCAGCTAATGCACTTCAGACTTATATCTAATGAAGTAGAGTAACATTCTAAAATGTCAGAGAGAGACATTCAGATATATTCAGGACACCATCAGGCAGGTAGTTTTTGTATTGATTGGTGCTCTGTAGGTGATACAGTTACTGAGTCAGCAGTTCAAACCTTCACGATTAATCCTCCAGGATGTTGGAGGATTAATTGTGAAGGTTTGAACTCCTGACCCAGAAACCATTCACAGCTACATTGGAGGAGTAAAAATTAAAGGGAGTGTTATTTGTATAACACAGCCCATTCAGCAGCCTGTCTCCACTGGAGGGTCCGAGGAGCCGCCTCAGCCGTCCGTCATCGCTGAGGGGCCCGAGGAGCTGCTTCAGCTCTCAGTCATTGCTGAGGGGCCAGAGGAGCCGCTTTAGCCATCCGTCATCGCTGAAGGGTCGGAGTAATCACTTCAGCACCTTGAGTCCACTCAGCCACCTCCTGCGTCTCCTCCTGCGGCTTCCACACGGTCGCCTGCAGTGCCACCACCCACAGCTTCCACACCATCGCCTGCAGTGCCACCGCCTGCTCCATCGCCCGCGGCTTCCACACTGTCCCCTGCAGCTTTTTAAGTTTGGCTTAAAGCTGCGTTTTCAGTTTAAATCCCGTCTCCAAGAGTGCTGCACTTGGGGTCCACCAGTTCTGCCTGCCTGCCTGCCATACAGCCAATCATGAGGCTGAGATCAAGGTAGCACGGAGGGAGGTTAGCCAACTATCGGAGTTGCAGAAAGGTGCGATGTAGAAGGAAGCTGTCCATACCTGAGGCCTTGGAAACTGCCAAGCAACGACTCACAGCCTTGGCCAGCTGCTTGAAGAGGTACACCAGAGAAATAGAAGGCAGGAGGAAAAAAACAGCTTGGTGTTCGCTCTCTCTGTGGTAGAGTATTATTTCCTGTTCCTGCTCAAACACGCAGTGGTTTTCTGAGTAGCTTATCTGCTTAGCAATTTAATTTAAAACTTTTAGATACATTCTTTTTCATAGTATAATCCTCACGTGCTTCATCCGAAGCACACTTTCTGTGTACTTACTGCCTAATTTATAGCCAAAGTATTCACTCACTGTTACTCTGTTTCACTAGCTTAGTTTAGGTCATAGCCGACTCGCTAGCAGCATGGCCTCTTCACCTGTCCCTCGTGCACTTTCCTGCTCATTGTGGCAGATGTTTAGTTACTCCTCGGCCTTCTTTAGCAGTAATGATACCTTTAACAAATGTAGCATATTTGCAGCTCTGCAGGCCAGGATTACTTAATTGGAGACTTGGCTTTGGACCGTTCTTTCACCCGTAGCTAGCCAAGCCCTTGTAACTGGTGCAGCCGAAGATAGCATAGGCCTCACTAGCTGTTCCCCAGCTGGGGGAAGAGGGCGGCTGGGTGATGATGAGGAGGAAGCATAGTCTTAAACAGAAGCCCCAGGTACACCACCAACCTGTTCATGTGTCTAACCGTTTTTCACTCGGCGACACACCCACCGGGGATCAAACACTGGTAATTGGTGATTCTATTCTCGGACATGTGAAGCTAGAGACACCGGCAACCATAGTCAATTATCTTCCAGGGCCCAGAGCAGGTGTCAGGGACCCAGCAGTAAAAGGACACAGGTGTTTATTTCAAAAAAGGGGTTTTATTGACCCAAAAATATGAAAAGATATTTAACCAAGCCTAAACTTAAACAGGCAGACCAATAAAAGAGGTCAACTCAATAGACTAAACTCAAGATAATTGTTAACAAAACCTCAAAACATAAGATAAACTGACCTGCTGAAATGACACACGGGGGAACTTAAATACTGGTTTAGCTAAACCAAATGACACACACGGGGGAAAACAGAATGGCGGCCATATAACCAACTAATACAAAACAATTAAACAAACATGAAACACCCCCCAGGCAATGAAGCATGCAGTTCTATCCAATTTGGCTGTCAGTGATACTTCAGCTTTCCCAGCCCTTTGCCACACCTTTTGCCAGACAGGAGGAGAAGCCAAACCCCAGGTAACTCATACAAAGAAGGATGTATTAATATAAAAAAACCAGAACTTTGACCTTGCAGTGTTAATGTGTGTGTGTGTGTGTGTGTGTGTGTGTGTGTGTGTGTGT